CTGGGACACAATCACTTTCAAGCCACCCTGAGCCATTCTGACCTCTGGGACACAATCACTTTCAAGCTACCCTGAACCATTCTCACTTTTCCAAGTCTGGGATGAGTGTCCTTGATAGGTGCAATGACCTTTTCCAAAAGTTTGGGAGTTTTACCAGTGATGATTTAGGCATGTATATTTTATGTGTATGCGATTAGGGTTATGTTTTGTTTTAGGTGATCTTCTACATTTGCATTTTGACTGATCTGTGCATAAGTCAAAAACTCTGCACTACAAAATGTTAGACGTTACACAATTGGAAGAGCCAGGGATTCTCAGTTGAGAAAAAGAAGGTAAAATTCCAACCGTGTTTTTAGTTCCTGCCACTCACACCAGTAAATGCATATATGGGTGCACTGGGCTTGCGGCTGCTGGTAACACACAAATGAGCTCCTGCATAGCCTAAGTGTCCCTGAGAGCCACCTGGATGCCATGGGTAGGGTTGGGAGGCCATGGAGCATCTTGCCACCAGGGGGTAGCATAGAGCTGCCACTATTCCTCATGGGTCCTTTCATCTCACACTTGATTGTTTATGTAATGGGGGAAACTCACCGTGGTGTTTATCTGAATCACTTGTGCTGCTTTTTCAGGCATCCTTTTCACTTAAAATTTACAGAAGAAAGGGCCCGGCAGAGGTCCTGGGAAAGGCATAGAAAGCTGTAAGAAGTGATTTATTTTATTTAATTTTTAATTTTTTTTGTTCTGGCAACCCAAAATAAGTGACTGAGATCAGAGTGATTTATATATGTATTTTAAAATAAAACAGCACCTCTCCCTAGGCTAAGCAGGCAGCATTGCAGTTGCTTGTCCGCATCTGAGCTTGGGAGGAGGGGAGGAGGAATGAATGACTAGGATCTTACATAGCTGGCAGAGAAAAATTGATCCCCGAGCCAAAGAAAATAAAATTAGCACCATATATATGCTTTGGTTTCTATTCCATATACTTTTATTTCACAACTTTGGAGTATTGGGCTAAAGACTTGGACCTCATTCTCAAAAAGCAAGAGAGAAGACCTGGTGAGTGCACAAAGAACCACATAAAGTATATGACACAACGTGGATATTTCTAAAGGTCTCTGTGTGTGTGTGTGTGTGTGTGTAGGAGTCATCTGAGGGAAAGATCACTTTCAATTTCAAATTCTATCCTATATAGGATTTTCACTTCCATTTCCTTAAGTCACAGACAGATGTTTTTAAAAGTGTGGTCTGAGACCTCCTGCATAAGAATCTCCTATAGTAATGTTAAAATGCAGATTCTGGGGCCCCACCAACTCAGAATGTCCAAGGGTAGAATCCCGAGAATCTATATTTTAACAACTTCTCTGATAAAATCTCTAGCACAGTAAAGATTAAGACATAAATCACCAATATTAAAATAGGGGAAACTATAATTATTACATCCAAACAAAGAAAACGGGTATCAGTTCTTAAAGGGAGTAACCAGGTTTACTGTTTCTCAGAATGTTCGCTTGGAATGCCAAAGTAGGAGAAAAGCAGCTTTGAATGATGAGGAGCTAACTCTACAGAGACTATGTGATAATAAAAGGTCATTTATTTTTGAGGTTTTCTTTAAACTTTTAATAAAAAAACAATTATTACAGAAGCACATGTTCATTTTAGAACATTTTTAGAAATATAGAAAAGAAAGTATTTTCGTGCCTGTATTTCAGAAATCAAGAGGTACACAAGGTGCGTGTACAAACAGGACAAAGCTTGTGCTCTCTCTCAAGCCTGCAGGTGACACCATCCGAAACATACTATTCTGCCCCTTTCTTTTTTCTCTGTTTTGGAGTTTTGCGTGTTATTTATGTGTATTTGATGTTTAAGTGAGGGAATAACATGACCCAATTTTCATTTTCTAAAGGCGCATGCTGTTGGGGGGAGTAGATTCTCCCCGTCATTGGTTCATCCATTCACCTGTTCAGGTGTTCAGAGTTCACCTGAACTCTGCCACGCCTGGTGCTGTGCTTAGTGTGTACAGAGAGAACACAGGCGAGGTCCCTTTTCACAAGCAGCTCACCATCCAACAGGGTAGGCAGCCAGTAATCAGACGGTAGTGTGGTCACACAATCATAGTGTGACCACAGCACAGGGCCAAAGCATAAAAAGGTGTTATCAAACCACTTGTGGGGTCCAGGAAAGATTCCCAGAGGCAGTGACATGGTGCTAAGTTTGAAGAAGGACCAGGTCCTCCCCAGAAAAGAAAGTAGAGGCAAAGAAGCACCTGGGAGAAAAACAATTATCATGAAAGGAAATAACATGCTTGGAAAGTGATGCCTTCTCATGACTTGAATGTTAAGGAAAAAAATAAAAGGAATTGGTGAGAGGCAGTTTCAGAAAGGAATATTGGGTGCCCCTTGCTTTTTTTATCTAATAATATTTCTTAGTAATTATTTCATATCAGCACAAATAGGTCTGCTTCTTTCTTATTCACAGCTACAGATCATACTGTTGTAGGATAGATGATAACCAGTCACTAGTGGTCAGTTAGGTTCTTTCTAATCTTTTGCTGTCACGAGCAATGTACAATGCACAGACATATGTACATTTCCACATATGTGACTGTATCTATGGGATAATTTCTTAGAGTCAGATTTGCTGATCAGAGGATATGTGACGTGAAATTCTGGGAGATACTGCCCTGTACAGAAGTGGTTAGCACTTACATTCCTCCCAGCGGTGTAGGAGAATGCCAGTTTCCTCATACCCTCACCTGAAGGGGGCGTTACCCAACTTTCTATTCTTTGCCAATCTGATAGGTGAGAAATGACA